TATGTAGTTTATTTTTGAAAATAACTACTTTGGTCAAAAAATCAAAAATAAGCGAGATATTTTCAAAAATTGGGATTTTAGGCCATTTTTAGGCCATTTTTTCAAAATGGCGGCTTTAGCGGCGAAAAGATCTTTACACAAATGCGAAATTCGGATTCAGCGTCCAAAAATACATAGGAATCACTCATCAAAAAGTTTTCCGGGAAATTTTCCCCAAGAACTTCCCTATTGCCTGGACTAAAAGTAGAAAGTTGCTGTTTGGACAGATCTTATTAATTGTTGCTGATCTACGAGAATCAATCATAAGAACACGATTCTGTGACCAGCGCAACTGACCCATTCAAACCAATCGTGAACTTCGATTGTTCAAGTCGTATGTAGCTATTGTTTTTATCAGGTTTAATCGTTGCCTACGGTTTAATTTCAATAAACTCTACTTTACTTTGTATTTCTGTTCTGTTGCAGCCAACGAATGGAGATCCGTATGACTTTTTATCTGGGCGTCATGTCTGGTACCCGGCATCGCATGCGCGCCCAATTTACTGCAACATCTGTCGGGATGGGTTATCCGGTAAGTCATGCTCCAAGTTCACTTTCATCGTCCATATTTTATCAACCGCTTATCACGCTTTGACGCTCGAGCTATGCACGGATTTCTCGCGGTTCACTTTCAATGCTCTCTGGAAAGTTTAAATTGTGTCGGCGGACAGTGGATCGAGTCGATAGGAGAGGTCGGACAAAATTTGGAAACTTTAAAAACTTATAACTCCGTTATTACAAGATGTCGAGGTCATAAAAATGGTCCCATTGGTTTGCGCGTAAGTTTCTTTATAATGAGCATCCCTTAAAATTTAAAATGTGACGAATTAAACATAAAAAATTGCAGTTTTAGTCAAAAATTTCATGTCCGACCTCTCCAATTGACTCGATCCACTGTGCGGCGCCCTCGCATGCAATGGAGATGTTGCATGTGTGAGGGATTTGCGATTTGACCATTGATTTTTATGTAAAAGTTCGCGAGAAATACGATGGTGCCACTGGTTTTCTATGAAATCATCTCCCAAGCTCAAAAAAAGCTCTTAAAGTGAGGCCAAAATGGAGGGGATATCCCACCCTACCCTGAGAGTCCACCTCTACATCAAGACAAACTCTCCATGCAAAGGTAGGGAGAAAATACATTAGCAGGGTTGCCACTTTATTCGGGGACTCCAAAACTGAAAACACAGCAACCCGTCTAATGTATTTGCTCCCTACCTTTGCATGGAGAGTTTGTCTTGATGTAGAGGTGGACTCTCAGGGTAGGGTGGGATATCCCCTCCATTTTGGCCTCACTTTAAGAGCTTTTTTTGAGCTTGGGAGATGATTTCATAGAAAACCAGTGGCACCATCGTGTTTTTCGCGAACTTTTACATAAGAATCAATGGTCAAATCGCAAATTCCTCACACATGCAACATCTCCATTCGAAAATCCTAAAAGTCGTGAATCGATCAGAGGGAGGAACAACCACGGCAAAAGGACACCCGCTACTTTAAAAATTAAAACATGACAAGAAATATCACCCAAGTTCATGCAAAACACGTAGGACGTTTGAAAAATCCAATAATCATTTCTACGGATAGGTGCTCTCTGAAATTCAAAAAGCATGCTCACTATCGCGTGCTCGTCATGTAGTGCCGCGGTAGAGAGCGAGGCGAGGCGTAAATGATCGATTATTATCGTTATTCCCCCATTTGAAACTATGGTAAAGAATCGATTAATAAGGTGTCCGTTTCGAAAACTCTATTTATCGATCCTTTTCTATAGATTTAAATGACAGATCAATCGATACATCGCAATCAAAGCACGCCGCTGATATAGAGCGAGCACTATGCTTGGTTTCTCACCTTGTATTTGTGTACAGATATTATTCAGTATCAAAAGTAACTATTACGGGGGCTAAATCCACTGTAATTTATGAACTTAGGCCTGTTTATGTTTCTTTTTATATTCTTTCTCGTCGTTTCCCTTTTTCCGCGAGGCCTTGCCTCGCCCATGTCTACAATTTTATGGGGGCATAATAATTTCGTCCTCGATGACCTGGTTTTTCTTAGGATTAAAAATTCTTAACGTATCTCTCCTCTCTCGCACCGGACTGTCAGAAGCAGGTAACATGGTAGAATTTTTAAAACAGATCATCAGGATTAGAGTACCTATAGAGGGAGAGTATGGACAACTCGAAATATGTAGCTCTTAGGGCCCAAAAGGGTAGGTAACCTTTGAAAACGAAAAATGTCACTGTCAATCTTTAGACTCCAATATCAAACGAAAATGGACAAGAAAATTCATAAGTAAGCATTTTTCCGCAAAAACGAGAAAATTTATGCAAAAACTAAGTCTAATACGTGCCTTACCAACGACAGTTCCCAACAATTGTGTAGAGTCCCTTTATACCCAGAGTTAAGACAACTCACTTTTGGTTGGCCTGAAAGTGGCCTAAAAAAAAATCCAATTCTGATTGGTTCTCGCTCATGGAGGCCGAAACGAGTGCACCAAGATGGCGGTACCTCGAATGTGAACAAGAATAATGAAAACATTACCTAATTGTGGTTTATCAAGAGTAAATTGTTATTTCCATCGGTCCAAAATGAAAATAGAATAAGAAATTATTCACAAACCAATCTCATTTTCTTTTTAATTGATCAATTTGTTGATATTGTTGTTTTTGTGTGACAGACATCGCAGGATTCCTGATCCTTATCCCTCAATATCGTTCGTTTGGGTGCACTCGTTTCGGCCTCCATGGCCAGCCAAGGCCGGCTGCGAGTCAGCTGATAATCGAGTTGTCTTAACTCTGGGTATAAAGGGACTCTACAATTGTGATTATAAATCACTCTGGATAATTTGAATTCATAGATTGCCTATCCTTTTGGGGTCTAAGAGTCCCATCACCCAACCTCAAAATTGTCGACGTGTCCATACTCTCCCTATATAGGTACTCTAATCAAGATGTGTGAATGGTGTACCTAAAGTTCTACGTAAAATACTCGATGCTAACGAAATTATTCAGTTTTCGGCTATACTCATAATGAAATCAAATAAAATACTCAGCTAATAGCGAATTTTTATGACAATGAAAAGTAAATTAGGCCATGCTTCAATCAAAAAACGAAGTACAAGAGTTATCATTGTAGTAAAAATCGGCTAATAGCTCAGTATTTGATTTCTTGATGTTACCGACACTCTGTTACGAAAACTTTCAACACGGAAAAAAAAGTGTAAGGGGTTATCCCCTAAAATTGTGGTACTACCAAAATTTGTTGGATGATATGGACATTTCCAATTAATTTTGGAAGCACCGCAACTCAAGTTGGGGTGGTACCGCAACATTTGGGTTAGTAACCTAATTTATCGGGATAGTACCACAATTAATCGGGATACTACCACAATTAATCGGGGTATTACCACAATAAATTGGGAATTTCCATATCATCCAACAGTTGGGACTTAACCCCTACCTCTGTTTTTCCGTGAAAAATGGAAGCTTGCTCGGAGAGCTAATTTTATAATTCGGGGTATATTTAGCAAAAAATATCTTTGAAAGTTTCACCCAAAAATCCTTGGTTTTACCTTGAGAATAAACATTGATGAAAACTCAGTAATATAGCGATGAAGGTATTTTTTACTGATTTCATTATTGATCAAAAAGGTCGACGTAGGTTCTCGCTGCACGCTCCCGCAGGTCTCCTTTGCCTCAAAATGCCTTTTTAATTATCTAGAGTGCACAGACGGAGATGCGGAGCTGTCTTTTTTGGCGGCTGCGATGACGAGTTCCACGTGCCCCTGAAATGAGGCTCACCCTTAATGTAAATAACCACCTGTAAACATGTATAGCACAGAGGTTTTCCCCAAAATCCCACTCATTTTATACGCTACTCCTCCCACCATGTTTCATTATAAGTTCAAATATTTAACATGGGCATAATTCTATTATTTGGTCTTTTAAAGTTAGTTTAAAGGAAGAGACAGAGAGTAACAGAAAAAGAGAGATAGAAAAAAGTAAAGAGAGAAGAGTGGGGGAGAGGGAGGAAGAAGAAGTTAACCCATATCATATAATATATCTATACTATACTCTATAGTATAAAGTCATTAGAGTAACGCCTAACGCCTGCCTCGGGTGGTACGCCCTGAGGAGGCCGATCGTTGAAATTCATAGACAAAGATATAGACAAAGAAGACGAAAGGGATATGGAGGGATCCTATTGGTGGGAGCGGGTGGTTGCGAGTCTATCATTTTCTCTCTTAGTCTGTAAAGACCACCAGTTTCAACGAGTGGAATCGCTCCATACGCCCTATGTCTTCTTTGTCTATAGCTTTGTCTATCAATTTCAATAATCGGCCCGCAGTTACGAATAAACTGGGTGAGTGATCTGTTAATGTTGTATCCCTCTCTTTCTCTTATTCGCAACTTGAATATCAGGTGATTTGCTGCCGTTAGGTTCGCTGAACGAAGAGCACACTCCGTTTTTCGCAATAAATTGACAGGAGCAGCGTAAGAGAGTAGCGTAATGGAAGAAACTACTTAGGGAAGTATCGATTTGTTAATCTTCTTAGTAAAATGCATCCTACCAGCGACAGGTGCCGGCTCAAGTTGGGTTACGTTGGGTTCAGCAACTAAACCATCTTTGCTGCAATGCGTGGAGTATCACGCCTCTGTTGAAGGCGCACTGAGTGTCCTCTGTTTGTTTGAAGTAAAAAGATTTCACCAATTTAGCGAACGCAGAGCTCCTGTTCGATCGATTTTTGTCGAAGTCCGCAAATGGGGGTATTTTTTGACGGAAAACTTGATTTTTTAGTCAATGTTTGTCGTCCCTCTGCCGTATCCCAATTTACACTTGAGCTTTGTTTTGCGTATAAATCCACACTTTTCTGGGCTCATGCGAAAGTCGAGATACGCCCTTACGCCAGAGGAGCGACGAATTTCGCTCTCGGTGGACGCGCGACGGAGTCGAAATTCGGAGGAACGATCCGGGAAATCGCGAGCCTTATTTGACGACAGCGTCTTCACGACGTGTTTGCAAGTTCCGTCCAAAGTGGTGAAGTTACCGCGTTGAATGGAAGAAGTTGTAGCAAAGGATAAAAGCCCTCGAAGGGCGGGGGCGGGCAGCGGAGAGAACAAAAAGGAGGAGCTGAGTCGACTTTTATTGTCCTGGACTCCACTCTCCAGACCGGAATACTGCCGCGCTAAGAAAGAACGCCGTATGAACTTTCGAGAGTTGCCAAATTTCCCTCGATAAAACATGTGTTTTTGACGACATTCGCGCATATTTTTCCTTGAAATTTTCAGATGTTTTAGATTAAATTGCGTACAAAATCGTCTGAAAATTTTGGAAAAAAATATCCGCAATTTTCCCAGTAATTTAAGTTTTTATCGAAGGAAACTTGGCAACGTCTGAAGGCTCATACGGCGTTCTTCCTTAGCGCGACAGAATAACTGCCCTATCTTTTGTACTTTTTGCACGTCTTTTCATAAATCTCTCCACTCCATGATGCCCCGTGTAAATGATTCTTCAAGCGCCATGTGCTTTTGATTT